CAATCTTTCGCCAGAAATTGTTTGGGAGACATTTTGAAAAGCCCTCGCATGGCTGAATCGTCGTCTTTTTCACACTTAATAATTAAGCAAGAGAAATCGACAAAGAAGATAACGGATATTTACTGTGCGGCTTGCAGTTTTCTTTGAACCGCCCGATTTTTTCAACGTCCCGGACTGTTGTTAACGCAGGTAAAAGGATTTTGGAAATTGCATTCTTATACCTGAGCCCCGAATTGCTTCGGGGATACAGTCTTTTGTTGTAGCGTCGATGGCGAAATAAGAGCTTTTTCGGGCCCGTTCTAAAGATGTTATTGACAACGAGGTGGAAGGAATTGTCGTCGAACATCTGCGCCGACCTGAAAACAGGACTGGCTCGGGAAAGAAAGCCAACAAAGCAGCTGTTTTTTTAGAGCAAAACGATCGATTCTGTACATATGAAAATTTTGCAACACAAACTGTAGACCTTGTAATACATATAGTGAAAAAAATTTAACTCCGTATAAAAAACAATTAAACAAATACACTTTCTTACTTAAATTACTTAGAAAGGATAACATTTATGATGGATAACAACTTCAAATGTAGCATTTGCGATTTTATATTTGTTGTATTTGGATCGCAGTACAACTAATATGAATGTATACAGTCCTATGCAATGGTAGTCCCCCAAATTATATATAGTATTCGATTTTCTTACAATTTTGAAAATGAATTTAAAAAGTTAATTCCGAATACCTTGCTATATTTACCAGATGTCTAGTTTACTTAATGTTGTAGTTTTGGTAGTTATTTTGTTACACTTATAACAATAATTGAAGACGGTGTGTGTTTATTAAATTTATTTGAAATAATAGAGCATACACTATTCTTATTTTAATTGACAATGATTAATATATTTGTTATGATCTCGTAGCCACGGTTATACATAAAATTTTAAAAAATATCGACAACAGTTTAAAAGAAAACTTCGTTTCAATTTTTTTCAAATACATATATGGATAATTCCAATATCCGTATCCCGTATTGCATTAGGTTTGCACAATATAATTTTTTATTTTCCGTTTACGAAAATTATGTTTTCGATAAGGTCGATATTTAATAAAAATACAAAAACTCAGTGGGTGATATTTTTCTGCCAAAAAAAACAAACATTTTACGGACTAGATACGACCCTGAAAAAATTTTCCGATCATTAATCAAAAATTTTGCATTGGTAAAGTACTCATTAAAAGAACAGTCACTCATTTTGTATATTTTGCTGGAATCTCCTTTAGCGTTTTGCTGTCAAAGACTTTTTTATTGAGATAATGGGTCGTTCCGGAATTTCCTAACCATTATAAAAATGATCTAATTTTAAAAAGAATACAGCCCTGTGGAAAATTTTGCATAAAATCGCAATAGTTTTGGCGTTCGGAAAAAAGTTAAACGGATCGTCGAAAGTTCCTTCTAGAAACGAACTATCGCTAAGTATGTTAGAGAAAAAAGCGGCTTCCGCCTGCAACGTAAATATTTGAAATATCAAAACGCAAACTTCCGATAATTTTCGGGCTCCCTTTCACCCTCTGGTATATTCGAAACGCGACCCAGGTCCCGGGCCTCCGCTTTTTACACCGGGCTCGCTTCAGTTCCCACGGTCGCTTAATAGGTATACATATAACCGAACTAATGAATCACACCGTATATTAACCCTCACCGACAAAAATAACCTTCCTTGCGATTACAGGAAACGAAATAAAAGCTGAATTCCTCTACGAATTCGAGTTTTCCGATCATCCAACATCGACTTGAATACTAATTTTTGTTATTTTCTATCCTTTAGAAGTTAAATCATAATGGAAGTTCAACTCCCAATTGTTAAATTAACTAATAAAATGAAAATAAAACAACCGAACAAACTCTAAATTTGAGAAACTGTGGTTTCTATCATCCAAAATGGGCCCAGTCTACTATTCAGCCTTTTTTCTTCAAAAATTTGAGCAGTTCTCACTAGTGCTATTCTGTGAACCAGACAATGTGTATCAAAAATCAAACAGCCATTTCCAAATTTTGTCGAATGATTTCATGATCATTTTGTTGAGAGTGGTTGTTATAGAAAATTTTGTTCATTGCCTTATCAGCAATATAGTAATAATGCCTAATAAAATTCTTTGTGTTTGACTTAAAGAAACCTCTCGGTAAAAGGCCGAAAAGGAAACTTCGCTATCAGCGCTATTGATTTGCGGATGCAGAATTTGGAAGCGCAAATTCCGATTCATCGAATTTCCCGACAACAGGAGCCGAGGGAGAATCGTGGTAAGTCGTCTTCGCAATAGATGGCGCATGGGGACTAAGCCGGTATCAAAATAGCACCATTCACATCACGCCGTTAGCTCAGAAATAAACCGGCAATTAGTAGAAACTAAGGTGACAAAGTTCATTTAAATTGGCAGTTTGAAGATTCGAAATAAATAATTAAATTGTATCGACTAGTTGTCATGCAGCAAAGTGCGGCAGGTCATTTTGGTTTGACCGTCGTGACGTCACGTGGATATTTTAAACCCGAACATCCCAACACGGCCTTTGAAAATATCCATCGATTTAACGAGATACATTGTTTGCAGTTAATAATGAAAAGAATTTATGACAATATATTTATTTATTTGTTATGGTATGTAACTACCTATTTTATATGTATATTAGTTTCAGATATCGCAAAACTCTCAAAACCACCCAGGGTCCAAGAGCGCCAATCCAAACCTATAAGCATAGTTTAACGAAATGTTACGCTTAAAATTTAAACTTTTACTGTAATTGGATCGGAAATTATAAAGAGAATTTTAGTTATTTCGTTAGAGGAAATTTGCATCATGCGCAATTTTGCGCAGAATTTGCAAGCCTTCAGTTTTGAACATTTTAGATCGTTGTGGGTGTTTCGGTCAGTGCTATCGGGTAGGTTTAACGTTGAGGACCAAACAACTTGAACATAAAGACCGCTTGGTCACGGAGGGTTTGCATGTTTTCGCGACATTGTCAGTTGTCATACAAAAGGAAACAACGTTAAGAAAGGACTGAATCAGGACTGACAATAAATACTAACCAAGCCTGAGCCTGAGATTTATACTATGCGGAAATTAAATGCTATGGCAATTTTGGTTAAATTGTGTTCCTTTCCTTCTAACCTTCAAGTTTAAGATTAAATGATAAAACGCTAACTAACAAAATTAATCTAAATCTCGGCCTAAACTTAAAAAAAAAGATTATCTCAACAAAAAAAGTTCCTAAGCGTATATTAGTTTCAAAATTCCATACTTAAATTAAATTTAAAACTAACAACATGAAAAAATGTGAAAATTTAAGGCTATGTCTGATTAGGTTGGGTATGGTTAAGGAATCTAAACTTATATCTCCGAAACCTGTCACATTTATATGTTTCTCCAAAATTATATCCAAAGTTTTTTATTTTAAATGGGAGAATAAATTCTGAAACATGAAATTTTGTCAGTCCATCTACATTTGTTGCTGGTTTAACACTAAGCGTTGCTGGGTCCAAATACCAACATACCAACATAAATGGTAAATTAAACCATAATTTGAATAGATTATTATGCTAAATATAAAAGAAAACTAGAAAATTTTCAAATTTAAAAACAAGAACAACGACAAAAACCAAACAAACTCCACACTAACCTCAACCAGCTGACAATCTGCTTAATTGCTTATTGTTTTTTAATAGTGTGAATATCGGCGGGTGAAAAATTACACGTTTTATAATATCGATGGATCTAAATAATATTTTTCTTTCTCTGCTTTTTCCGAAACATAAAATGCATTCACAGGGACGGAAGAAAGTACTGCAGATGCGGATTCGAAACGTAATTTCACACTATCTTGTGCGGATCTGCGAATGTGGATGCTCAAAAATACAATTATGGATCATCAATATGGTTTTCAATCGGAAAGGTCAACAATTCAAATAATTGAATTTAATTGCGTATGCGGACACAATCCTTGGTGCTTTGGAAGCTGTTACTATGTTACCATAAAGCTAATTATCTTCTTTTTGCCGATGACTTAAAGGTCTTCTCGGTTATTGGAACTCGTGAAGATCAGTTTCGTTTTCAGGAGGATTTACAATGTTTGGCTCGATGGTGAAACTTGAATGGTATGGATCCCAATCTCTCAAAATGCTTAAGTATCTCGTTTCACCGTCTCCGTGATCCTATAGTTTACGAATATAACTAGATAGATAAAAACATAAAAGCGGTATCAAATGAAGACCTTGACGTACTCTTCGAAAGCGGCTTTACATGTCTGGCATAATAATGTGTTGGTTCAAAACGCGAATTCCATAAAGCTCTTATATTGTGCTCTGGTTTCTCTGGTGATCTGTCAAAAATTTGGTTTTTGGCACCAATGCGAATAACGTAACGTGAACGCAATACATTCACAGCAAGGGCAGCCCGGCTGGAGAATGGGAACGAGCGTTTGGACTTTTTCACTACTGAGGTTGGGGTTTAGGAATCAGATTCAAGCAAGCATATTGGCATACTGTAATTTAACTTTGCATTTTTCCTAAGTTTTATGTAATAATTACAGTAATAATAATAATATTAATAAAAATAATAATAATAATAAATCTAGACCGTGACCCTACTGTGAGTAGTGGAGATTAGCCTTTAGGCATACGTGGGGCGTTTTTATATTGACCGCGCGACGAAATCGCACAATTATTAAGCATTTCATTGCGGATATTGTTTTATAAACGGCCAAAACTTAAATAAACAATCACTCTGATTAAACGCGACGCCGCAGCGGTGAAAATACAAGAACGCGCGACGCGCATAAATTAGAAAAAAAATCAACCAGGGGGGGAATGGCGGCCGCGCGCGCGGACCACGTGTTTTGCTTTGTTTTCCGTCACGGAAATTCGTTAAAATTCGGCGCGCACGGCGACGGCGACCCGCGCGCCGCCAATGCAAAGGGGCGGTTTTAAATTTCGCGGCGCGACATCGTCAACGCGCATGAGCGAGTCCCCGGCCGGCACTCGCGCGCACATGGCCGCGCTATAACCACGCCGTGGCGCCCCGAAATTCAGTTAGATTCAAGCGGGCTGACGGAGCGTATCTGCTTGACACAATAAAATCGTTTAGGAAAACTTTGAAACAACATTTTTAAGAGATATATTTTTGTATACCGAGTGCGAACCGGAAACGACTTTTACCAATTACAATCGATATCGTCGGCCGTTTTTGAATTCTTCTGTTTGCCGTACATGTTAACGAACCACCGCCGTCGCCGCCGCCGCCGCCGCCGAGGGTTTTAAGTGTTCCCGAGCCCCCCCCAACGTATATGCGCGTTTAACTGCGACAATCAAGTTCGGTTCTTCGGCTTTTCGTGTGCACTCTTGCTAAATAAAATAATACTCTCGTCACTTTCGACCGGTTTTAATCGCGGAATAAAGAGATATGCCTGCGAGTTTGTTCCCGGACATGGACCGGCCTAGCGGGATCGGCGACGAAAGGGCCCTCCAGCTAGCGCTCGAGCTGTCCATGCTGGGGTTCAGCGAGCCGCTGGCGTCGGTCGGGACGGAAACGGACGGCGGCGCCGACCTCGCGTCTTTCGTCAACCCGTTAACGAGCGTCGGTCTCGACGAGGTGCGGTCCAAGAAGTCCCAAAACATGACCGAATGCGTCCCGGTGCCCAGTTCCGAACACGTCGCCGAAATCGTAGGCAGACAAGGTGAGTAAAATTATAAATAATAATCACGATACTATTGAACTGTGTGGCCTGGCTTGTTGTTGATGTCGGTTTAAGCCCGCCGTTATATTTACACGTAGGAAGTGGCTACTTAATATGCGTCATTTAATCGGGAGGTGCAATTCAATTGTGACTAGGTTTTTTAAATTGATTTATATTCGGCGGGAAGGTCGACGGGATGAGGTTTTGACTGGTTAGCGTCGCGTGCAAAAGACCCTTGTTCGCCACTTGTTTTTTTTTTTTAATGTAACGCCTTTTTCAATGACCGGTAAATAAATATAAAGGACTCCATCAATCGCGGATAAAACAGCTTGAAAAAAAAACCGTAGGACCGTAAAAAACGACGAAACCAGAAACTTTTTTATCTCCGGCAATAGAAAAAATGCCGTTTGTTCCGGTAACCGCCGCGCTTTTAATGGTTACTTTGGCAATGTTCCCGTCGACGGGATTTTTAATACATGCACAGATTTTTGGGTACCTATTATTGTATCTTACTTTAACTCACAGTTCGAAGTTCGATAACCCGGCCCCACTTAGGTATTAGAAAAAAAACTCTTATTATTGGTTGTTGTACGTTGATAAAGACACGTTTTCAAATATCAGAAACGGCCTAAATATAATGAACTCTCAAAGCGAATAAATATAATCTAAATAATATATGTACATGTAGGTATTTCCTTAAAATATTTATGTTTTTGTAAGTTTCTGAAGAAAATTGGGAAATTTTCAACAATGCCTCATCAGCTATGTTTCATCGAGTGTTTACATAAACTTTTTGTCTTGAATTATTTTTTTCGTCACTGTATAAAATATATATAAACCGACATAAAGGGTGGTGAGTATGACAGCGCCAATAAGCAATTCTACAAACTCTCCCAATTTTGAGAACTAAACTTTAGTTCCTGTGCCTCGTTAGTGAGCGATATTTTAATGCTTTCATTATTTTCACTATTTTAGTGTTGGTGGTCACTTTATGACGTATTATGTGCTTTGATTTTTGAGTCAATATTCGAAGAATGCTTACTGTTCATTTTTATGTTATATTCTAGATTAAAAGTTATGACACAATTTACTGTTTAGCAAATATGTAATATGCTAACTACGCTTACGTTAGTTACAAACCGAAACAACCAAACTTTTATACTCAACTGTGGTCCATTTTCTACAACAATTTTAATATTTCAGTTGCCTATTTCTGGATGTCTGAAGTTCGCTAATAAAATACAAACAAAAAAAAAGCACTTAACTCACATTTTCAATCGTACTAACCGTGTTTCCAGATGCCGTGTGCGACCCGGTAACGAGTGCAAAAATATTTATTTGTAATTTGGCTATCCAAATTGGAAACGATAACCAAGATAATTGTTCATGGGTGTGTAATTTCGAATACGGATAAGTCTTTATCTCGTTAAGTGGTTGTTCGTGGCTATGAGCGTTAAAAGAGTTTTCCTGACGTTGCCTTCTTGGCCGATTTAAACGATAATTTATTCGGAACATGCTGCTAATACGTTTTTGATAGTTTTTCCAAAAATATAATTAGAAAAATATTTAGGTGAGATTATATCGAATAGAGAGAAGTAGAACACGGTTAATAGGATTAATGTGGTTCGTATCGCGCGTAAACACATATTACACGTAGATATTCTACTATTTGCCTCATCTGAAAAGGATACAGTACGAATTTTGTATTTTAGAATTCAATCTCAACTTATATTTAAGACTCGACCGGACAAGAGAGTAGTCGTATATTCAAACCAAAAATAAATCGACATTGAGACATCATATATTATGATATCAGAAAAAATGAGACGGAAACGAACAAAGAGGTTAATTTATTTTGTTAATTCAGAATCCCACTTTTTTTGTGTATGCATCGTGAGAATGACAAGAAATTTGAGTTTTGAAAAATGTATTTATTTACGCAGCGACTGTGTGTCGATAACATGTACCGGAACTGGGTATATGTGCAACTAGGTAAGCTTTTGTTTAGAATTTCTGCATTGCTAGTCATTCCAAGAACGTCGACTGATGCACACAACTAACGATTTTTCTCACGACTAGGTGCGACATTTTCACGAGCGCAACATTTTCGAGAGACACCACGTTAAAAATATAAATAAAATAAATCTACGGTTGCGATTTGCGTTTCGGCCACAGTACGAGTGACTGGATAAAAATCTTTATCTGAAATACGACCGGTCAATCACCGCTGGGAGTCGATGTACCTACTTGTTCTTGGAAATATTTTTCGAAACGAATTATCCCCAATACCCGTGGCACGAATATAATATCGAGTCTCCCCAGGTTTTGAAACAATGCATCCATGTTTGCCCGCGTCGCAAATATCTAATTAGGCGATCTCGAAGGCGCAACTCTGCATTTGATAATATACAGAAGAGGCGGAAAGTTATTTGGCATTTCAGTATGTATGACAATATTATGAAAACCGGAGAAGCGTGAAAGTGATCCTAAACGATCCGATATTGTTTACACAAAACGTGACTGAGATGACGCGTGCGATTCTTGTATATTGTTGTACGTAAGAAAGTCGCAAGTCGCAATTCAATGATTTATGGATATGGATATATAAATAAATCTACATGAAAGTGACTAAATTCAGAAATGCGTGCTGCACGTTTGAACACTTGCAGTATTCTACTACATAGTTCACAATATTCATATATCTATTGTAGGTAGGATCCAAGGAAACGGTTGTCAAACAATCCACCCCGATTAAGATATTGTTTTTCTAATCATCATCCAGTTTGCATTTGAAGGTCTAATCTGATCATAACTTAAATGTTACCTGTGAAAACTATCATATTTTTTAATCATTATGATCTTATAACATTTTGGCTGGTCTCCGCCAGGGTGTGAAGGCCCCGTTTCTTTATATTTTGGCCCCTATAAAGACAAGCCTACATTGTTGATGGTCCCCTAAGCAATGTTCCAACACCAAAAGAAAAAAAATTATGAATAATATTCTCCGACATACTATATCACCGAATATATCATTCTATATTTATCTCAATCAACCTTTTCCAGTCATTTTAATGTTTATGATTACTTGATTAATTATTTAGTTAATTATGTCTTCGGTTTTTTTTTTCAAAAAAAAACAAGAAACTTCTTTTCCTTATCTTTAGACAATAAACCAAGAACTTGGAAATAAATAATGTTTCCTCTTATTTTCACTTCTCTGGTTAGTATCAAAATCATTTTTTCAGTATGTATGACAATATGAGTTTTATGTGTAAGGGGCTTTTTGATCTGACCATGACGTTAGTTTTGGGTTTTGGATTAGTTTTGGTTGTTTTGAGTTTCTCTTCACATTACGAGTTGGGTTGTGGAATTGACCGGTCAAGTTTTTTTTGTCAATTGGCCGAAATAATTTTAAAAATACCATAAAATTTATATTTACTTATTTATATAGTGCATTACATCGCCGTCGCATCATTCTGGGAACCAAATGTAATCGATATTATTATTGGGAGTCCCTAAATCGCTAGGTATAGTATTCGGATATTCCTCGAAGAGGGTTGTAGGTAAATTTGACATCACAAACGCATAATAATTCATTAAATTATTATCAATATAATCAATTAAGAAGTGGTCAATTGACCAATCCCAACACTAATCATCAAGAAACACAAATGCTTATCATATTTTACTGTTCTATTTTGTGTTCACTATAAGTGAAGCATTTTAAAGATTGCTTTCACTAGAAAAAAAGACGAACTTAAACTTTTCAACAACGGTAAGGAATGAGACTAATATATTTTAGGGACTTTTTGATCTGCATCCTAGAGGACCATGACCTACTTGTTATGCACGGTTTGTTTGGTCGAAATTTGAGAGGGAAAAAAGCTTCTCACACTACCCGGGCCATTTTCCATGTTCATGGAATTATGGCAACGTAATATGTAAACATTAATCTAGACGACGCACCAAATTAAATTTAACATGGTTTGGAGTGACGGGCGATTAACGGCGTATTATTATCTTATCTGTCGGCTAATCCGACATTTTTCGTGCATCCTCCGAGACCGTAAATAAGTCATTGCGATTCTCAACGATATATTTGTTAATTTTTTCGCGGTAAAACCGACGCGACACACATTTCAACTGTAAAAATAGTCGACCTCCTCCTATTTCACTCTAAACGCGCATCGACGCGCTACCTCTTATTCAAACTTTATCGCATAGGCCTCGAAATCGTCCGTAAATCTCCGACAGGCCGTTTGCGCGTATCGGCGGCACAATTTTAATTAACAAAGTTAATAACGGGGCCCCCTCTGAAATGGTAATGGTTCGGAATCTCGAGACTGGCGCGTTACGACGGTTTCCGCCATAACTAGCCCGTAAATAACCCGCTTTAATATAGTTGCACAATTAAAAAAAAAAACGCTAATCAGATATTCCGAATCCCCAAGACGCGGATTATTGTAAAGGTCAGGTTCAGGCTTGTACGCGTTCGGCTCTAAACCTAAATCATTCTATTTTATTGCGTTCGACGTCATAATCTCTGAAACTCATTGGCCGGTTTGATATGGTGTGGCATGGAAGCCGGCAGTGCATTTCTCTCTCGGGTGTTTTCGAATCGACCAAGGGTATACAACCTACGTGCTCGCGTAGAAAGGGTTAGGTTAGTGCACTCGAAGTCGTTAAAGCTGCACCTGTAGAGAAAAAAAAATGTTCTCGCATCCAATTTTGAACAAGTTCAAGATTTTTTGAAATTAATGTTTCTGCACATATATGTAGGTGTTGTCTACTACTACACGGCTGGCTCTCTGTACAAGAGTCGGAAAATTTAGTTATTTCATCATTCTTCTTACGCGAAGAATTAAAATCATTCATAGGGAAAAACGGGGAAAGAATTTTTTTTTTACTTCCTTTCTTCCTGCTACTTGCTGGAGTTAAGTACGATTTCGGAAAGAAAAACTGGAAGGTCGAATTTTTTCCGTTTCTTCAATTCCTTTTTA